TTAACTCTAGTTCTGTGGCCTCTCATGGATTGCACACACACACATTATTTTTGTGAGCTCTCATGTTGGTTTTTGAGTTGTACATTCTCATGTAACTTATGTTCATTGTTTTGAGTTTATCTGACTTGCTCATGATTATTTGCTTCATCTTGTCAAAATTGCAAGTTAGTGGGCTTCATGGTTTGTAGATTATTTCATCTCAGTATCATCCTCATGCTCTTGTGCTTACTCACTTGTGTTTCAGGTTTCATGACATAGTGTGAATATTGGTTTTTTGTTTATAAAATAAAAATAAAAAAAAAGAAGTTTTTTTGTGTTTTGTTTCTTTTTCTTCTTCGCTCGAGCGAAGGATTGCTTGCTTGAGCGTGCTTCTGCTGCTGAGTTAGACCTGAGAGCGTGAGTTTTTTGCTCGAGCGACAATTTCTTAGCTCAAGCGACCCCTTGCGCATAAATGTCCTAGCTTGAACGAGAGAGTCTTCGCTCGAGCGATCTGTCGTGGTATAAATACTGCTACTGCGTCTCTTCAATTCAGTTTTTTTGCCCTCTTTGCTTGAGTGTTGTCTCTTTCACTCCCTTTGGGCGATTTCACTTCCATTTGTGTTCATCCCTTGGATTTCACTTGTGTTTGGGGGTTTTTTTCTCTTCATCTATCCAGCATTGTCATTTTTGGTAAGATTTCTTTTTCTCTCCCTTTGTTTTTCTTCAGTTTGAGTGTTTGGTTCAGCTATGTCTATCTAGGGCTCTTCATGGTTGATTTTGGTTATTTCATACTGGTTTCGTGTCTCTCTCTTGCATCTAGGGTTTGTAATTTGGCTCATTTTGCTAGTTTATCTCTGCTAGGGTTTAACTTGGGGTTTATTTATTTGTCTATTTTTTATATAATGTCCTGTGTTTCCTATGTTCTTGTATATGGCTTATTTGATTTGTATGAATGTTGCTTCTACAATTCATTTCTTTCATGTTTTGCTACATCTGTGCCTGTTGATGTCTCACCTAGTTCTGCTTTTTTATCACATTCATATTATGCTCAGGTTATGAGTCTTAATTGTTGTCTAACCATGTTGCACTAATGGTGTTTTGTTGGCTTCTTTTGTTTTTTTTGGTTTTGGGATTTCTAATATTTTCTTTGGGTGTCTTGTGTGGTGGGTTATGGGTTGTTTAGTCATGGTTGAGTCTTCTAAACGTCGCAAGACTACTGTTTCCCGTCCCCCATTCAACACTGACAAGTTCGAATCCAAAGAAAAGTCTAAGTTGTTTAGAGAGTTTTATGCCACTCGTAAAGTCCATCTAGAGAGGAATGTCCTCCCCAGTGCTTTTGAGTTACTACCCATTCGTTCCTTGTTCGATGTCTTAGGAGGTGATCAAGTGTTGTATTTCTCGAGGCCGCAAAATCTGAGTCTTATTCGTGGGTTCTATTGTAGCATGCACTCTATTCGCAAAGAAATTCCGGCATCATTCAGCACTTGGGTTAGGAAGCAGTCTTTAGTCATTACCGGGGATGTTTTTCGGTTGTTTCTTAGTCTTCCTGAAGTTCCGTTTTTTTATTTTCCTCTCCTTACTCGTACTGGTATTGATTTTGATCGCGTAGCTTCTAAGCTTTGTGGATGTTCCCAGACTTGGATAGCCGGGGTACTCATTCAACAAAATGAGCTGCTTCCTAGGTTTCGTCTTCTGAATATCATTGTTTGTGCAAATCTTCATGTGACTTCTCATTCTTCGCACATTACCCAAGATTAGGGTTATGTGTTGTATTGCATCGATCACAGGCTTCCCATTGACCTACCCGAGATGATAGTCACGAAGATGATTTTTGTTTTTGAAGGACGTAAGTCCTTAGGTCTTCCGTATGGATGCTTGCTCACTAGATTTCTCACTTCTTTTAATGTTCCTATTTATGATGATGATGAGTTTGCTTCTCCTATAAAACCCGTTACTAAATTGACAGTCTCCCAGAGTCAAGCTCATGTACGGGGGGGTGTGTCGGGAGTTGGGATGTCTAGTGCAGGTGATGATCCACTTGCTGAGGAGGAGGAGTTTGATACAGCTCCTGCTGGTGCACCAAATCTGCCAAAGATGTGTCCTAGATCATTTAGTGGCCAGCTGCAGCAGTTTGCGCAGTCTGTCACGCATCGGCTTGCGCAGTTTGTCACGCATCGGCTTGACCAGTTGGATGCTCGGATGGATACCCTTGATAGTCGCCTTAATGAGCAGAGCACTATGCTTGCACAGATTCTTTCTTTACTTCAGATGCATCAGCCTCCTTCTTCAGCCTAGTCTTAGACAGATATTTGACTCTCGGACAGTTTTTTTTTTCCTTTTCTTGGACAGTGTTTTTTGGTTTGTTTATCCTTGTTTCTTTTGTCACTCCCGGAAAAAAGGGGGAGTATGTTTTTAGAGGGTATATATATGGCTGTATATATGGATATGGATATGGATATATGTTGCACACTTATGATGGTTTTTGTAGGAAGCATTGGAATAGCGTTGGAGTAGTAGCATTGGACTAATGTTTTGTATGGGATAGTAAGCTTTGCTTTTGGGTTTCTAATTTATTATGTCTTGATGGTTTGGTTTCTTATATTGAATTTGATGGTTTGATTTCTTATATTGAATAACACTTCTCTCTGTTTTTAGCTTTACATTACAGGTTTCTATCCAGATTGGTTTGTTAGTTCAAGATGTTAGTTCAAGACTGTTTTGAGGTTGTTTTCCATTGAGTTGGCTTGTTTTTGTTAGTACTTTTGTTTTGTAGGAAATTGTATTAGAAAGTTTTTTCCGAGAATTGACAAAAGGGGAGATTGTTAGGTCCCTTAGTCTTGTCAAATCCACGAACAAACCTTGAGTCATTGAGTTGTAATTTCCTTACTGTTTTGTCTTGCTCGCTCGAGCGAAGAAGTCCTCGTTGGAGCGAAGACTGCGTCTGGAAAAAACCAGAGAGAGGTGAATGTGCGCTTGAGTGCAGGTTGCGTGGTTCAAGCGAAGCCACTTATAGAAATCACGCAAGATATGTTCCTCGCTCGAGCGAGCTTCGTTAGTCTAGGATTTCTATAAGTATTTGTTTTACTCCAAAACTAAGATTAGGTTTTTTAGATCTACTTTAAGCTTTTCTAAGGTTTTCTTCTGGAGTATTTTTTTGTGAGTTTTCCTTGATAATTTAAATGAATATTAAACTCATGAATTGACAAGCACAGATTAAGGAGGTTGATTGATTACATACAAGAGTAGTCTTCTTCAGTGGATTCCGAAGATTCAAACGTGGAGTTTCAAAAGAGTTTGATTCTGTACGTAGTCGTTGATTCGAAAAGTGAAGTTGTGGATTCAACTTCAGATTAATCAGTTCTGAGACGAAGGCTTGGTGAAAGAGTTACAGAAGGTTTGAAGACAAATTGGATGAGTTGGATAATTTGTTTGTTATTTTTGTAATCTTTCTTTCTTCAATAGTGGATTGATTAGTGGCGTTTTGCCCGTGATTTTTAATTACAATTGAAGGTTCTTCAATTGTGATTTTTCCACGTAAAAATCGTTTGTGTCAATTTATTGTTTATTTTGAAAACAACAATCTAAATCACTTTCGTAAGTGCTTGATGATTTAGATTGTGTGTTTTGAATGATTGGGAATTGATATACTTTAATCTTAATCTAATCACGAATCACTTGGGATTTTCATGGATAAAGGACAACAATCCTAAAACAAAGGAAGATCTCAGTCTGGATAAAGATAAAGCTCAAGGAGCTATCTAGCTGAGGGTCCAGGATGAGCATTGAACCTGAGTCCATTGAAGCAAGGCTTCTAGAGGGATCAGGTCATTGCTAGTTATAAAAGGAAGGCACCCTCGTGGGTCTGAGATAAGTTCTTTTTTGTGAGTTTAAGTACAATTTGCTATCTTTGAGAGATATTGATTACTAACTTGATCGTCAAAGTACTCTCGGGTGGATTCACCACCGCTGGATTCTCATCTTCTTGTGCAGGTTGTTGGGCTTAATCTATTCTGCTGATACTCTCCAGCTAAAGTTCCCTGTTCAGTTGTATGGTCGAAAATCAACACCCACAAAAATCAGGGCCAAAGTCATGGATCTTAGTGAAGCAACCAATTCGAGAGGTGGAAAACAACAATGTCCAAAACATTGTTTAAAAAGTAATCAAAAAAATGAAGTGCCTACATAAATAAGATTTATTGGGTGTGTGGCCAAGCTGAGCTTGAATTTTCAGGGGCCCTTTATACATTGATAAATAAATAAGAATAAGTTTGCTTCCTTGTATAACTATTAACATTATATCAAAATTCACTTGTCAGTAGCACCACTTTGTATTATGTAATTATTTGGGTGCCCTAGATCATTTCTTTTGAATGGTTGTTGGAGAATCTTTTATCAAATACCGATTAGCCAAAAAATGAAAAAAGAAAAGTAAATTGAGTTTACAATAAGAAAAACATACCAAAATAATCTAAAATTGTAAAACCAAATAAAAGATGAACAAATTGGAATAAAGCATCACTCAAACATTATTTCTCATATGTTTAAATTACAAAAATTAATAATTAAACTTGCATAAATGACCTTTTTTTATTTATTTAAGGCCTAATAAGAACACAAAATTATTTTTACCTGTTGTGGGGACTATAATTTTTTTTGAGACACCAAGTTTCAGCAAAAAAATCGGGAACCAAACAAACGTCCTTGTCCATCTATGCTCAGACCCAATCTTGAGAACAACTTACATAGTTGAATTTACACCATTCAACGGAATTTTCTTGACAAATTTTCAAATTAAATTTTTTGGCTTCATTTTTTAATTGGGGTATTTTTTTTAAGGTCCTTGATATTATGATTTTATAGTATAAAGGACATCAACTATTTTCATGATGTCTAAGGTCCCTCAACATCAATCCAGAGAAATTTCAGTCCAGAGAAAATTCGATCCAGAGAAAATTCGATTAGAGAAAATTCGACCAGAGAAAATTCGATCCAAAGAAAATTCAATCCAGAGAAATTATCTTCCTCTCTTCAGTGCAATATTTTCATCTTAGACACGATTAAACCTGTGAAAACTCAATGAAACTTGTGAACTCAACGTTCTGACCTTTATGTTTTGTGTACTGCAACAAGAAAGGATAGTTATATTTATAGATTGGCGGTGTCGGTAGCATTTACAACTATTAATTCACGGATGAATGAAGAAGAAATTAAAAAACAAAACCAGCCAAGAAAATCAAGCCCAAACAATTGAAAAGAAGATCAATGAATTCAAAAAACACTGGGACACCAACTCAAAGAAGCTTCAACATCACCTGAAAAACCAAAAATTTCATGTTAGATATACCAAGCAACAGCATGAGAGAGAGAGTAATCAGAAAAATTGCCACTCTAGCCTAATTTTTATATGTATAATAGACAACAACCTTGCAGCTTCGGTAGAGTTGGATCAACAAGAGGCAATTTAGAGTTAGACCCCCTTGCTCGCCTCAAAAGAAACCGGTCAAAATGAACCCAGAGAAATTTGAATTTTCTCTGGGTTGAATCCAAAGAAAATTCAAATTTCTCTGGGTTGAATCCAGAGAAATTTGAGCAATTCTTGGGGCATGAGCTCCAAGACAGACCACAACCTTGCAGCTTCGGTACAGTTGGATCCCAATTTGGATGGTGAAGCTTCGTTGCAGTCTGCCAAGTACTTTCCAGAAACGTTTTCAAGCCTCAGCTGACCTTCCCTAAACCTCCCACTGTAAATTTCTCTGCTCTCCTGGACTCAACACTCCAGAGAAATTTGAAAATTTCTCTGACTTCACTGGCCGTCCCACAAAATTACCTCTCCAGAGAAATTTAAAATTTCTCTGGCCTCTTTGGCCTTTTATGGACTCTCTAGAGAAATTTCAAATTTCTCTCCCTTCCATATGCTTCCACCGACACATTTTTTGCAACAATATCATAGCTCAGAACATTCAATATGAAATTTCATGAAACACATTAATACATACCAATGGAAAAACCATTTTGCCACCCTAAACATTTCCAAGCAATGTAAGGCATGGAACCTTCCCAGAACCCCATCAAGCTTTGAAAGTTGAGCATAGACCACAACACTAGGACTCACCCTTGCCTATAGCAAATATACATGACATTAGTACATAGAAAACCAGAAAAAACAACAGTAAGCCACCAATTCAATAGACAAAAAGTGTTTTAAATTATGTAATTTTTTAAAAGCTTCATAACACCAGAGCACTTTGGTAAGTGGCAAATATGACCAGAGAATTTTCTGTCCAGAGAAATTTTCTCTAGAACCTCCCAAAGAGATTCTCAGAGAAAATTTACACAGTGGCCAAAATCTCAGAGAATTTCTCTGGACAAAAATTCTCTACAAAGAAAATGGGTTGGCTCTCTCTCTCTCTCTCTCTCATGATTTAATGAGAGATTGTTCAGGCCAAGTTCTATGTAATAGATTGAGTAGATGTAGGAGTTGATTCAATACACTGCACTTTTATACACATTTGCCCTATTGTTCTTCTTCGGGGAAGAATCTTCAAAATGGGAAATATAGTAATTGAGCTTGATGAAGAACTATACAAGATATGGAATAAACCAGTTAATAGAGGAAGATGGAGATTGAGGATGAAGATATATATATAGAAAGAGAGAGAGAGAGATTGCAATCTTCCCCAAAGCCTGCGTAGCATCTGTGTGTAGCTGAACATTCAATTCCTTGCAAATTTTCCCAATCTCGGTTGTAGATGGATTGAGAACTTTGTCCGTCGGTGACTGTGATTGTGCCGTGGAGCTTCTCTCCGTCGATCAAGCTCCACGAGAACCTCCCTAAACCTTTCCACCGACCCATCTTCCGGCGACATGGCTCTCTCTCTCTGTGTGCGTGTTTGATCGTGGTGACAAGTGAGAGTAGACAAAAGGAAGGGGGCTGAATTTCTCTGTGATAGATGGGAGGACCTTAGACATCAAAAAATAATTTTGTGGATCTCTTCCCTTACGAAAAGTGGGAGAGGGACCCTAGACCAATTTTTCCTTTTTAATTTTTTTTCACTCATCATCATAATAAAAGTTGGCAAATAAAATTGATTTTTTTCTTTTTGTATGTAAAAATTCCTTTTTGCTGATAATAATAATAATAATAATAATAATAATAATAAAAACTAGTAGCTTGGAGATAAAATTAATTTTTTTTCCCCCTTGTTTTTGATAACCGGATATCCATGCTAACTTACACATGCCAGTAAATGAGTAGCTTGGACAATGATGTTACCTGTAGTTAGGGGGAGTGTGTGGCCAAAGATGAAAAGTGTTTTGAAAAGGATGGCCAAAATAGCGCAAGAAATCTCTCCAATGGAGATTATGCTGTTTTGATGTATTCAAGCTCGTTCCGTACCGTACCAGATTCATCACATCATCTGATGCATATTTCATCTTCTCTTCCCAATGAAGGTTGAAAAATCCTTCCACAGTCTTGAGCTCTTCCTCTATTAAAGATCTCTCGATGCCATGATTTATGATCTGTTCATTACAACAACAACAACCAAAAAAAAAAAAAACAAACAAACATATACATGTTAGATAATGTCTCAATGGGACCACATAATTAAATGTGGTGTTATTATTTATAAGAAACTTACAATTTAAGTGATTCAATTTAGTTAATAGGCTTAAGGGTATATGTGTTATGGACCTAATGTGTAGATACTAGTTGTATAATTTCTATTTCTATGAGGGGCAGAAATAGAAATTACAACATATTGGTTAAAGTTGGTTTTCATTACCTTTCAGTTTTAAAACCAATAATGGTTAACTTATTGGTTTTCATTACCTTTCAGTTTTAAAACCAATAATGATTAATTTATTGGTTTTCATTACCTTTCAATTATGAAAACCAATTACAACCTTTAAAAGGTTATGGTCCCTATTCCTTCCCAAGGTGGAAAAATAAGAATACTGTTTTGTTTTTCTAAATCCTCTCAAGGAGAAACATAAGGCACATAAGGGAAAGGATTAGAAGGCTCTAACAAAGTCAATATTAAGGTTTTATTGACAATCAGACGCTTCCGTTTAACCGTTCATCAATGGATTCAGGTATGTCATTTTGTCTTGATTTCTTGATAATACACATGGTAAATGATCCAAAGTATAAGGTTTATGTTCTGAAATTTATGTTAACAA